AAAAAAAAACTAAAATAACATATAATTTTAATAAATAAAAAGTAAAAATCAATACGTTTTAACATTTTTAATGTTAGATTATTTTATAAAATTATTCAAATACTCTTAATAAACATATTATGCGTTGATTTATTAAAGGTATTTTAGTTTTTTTAATTATTTTTAGCATTTTAACTATCTAATATGTTCTAATTTTCCTCAATTCTTTTTAATAAATTTTTATTAAAAAATACTAAAATAACATATTTTTAAAGTAAAGATAAGGTTGTTTTGGATTTTTATATACAGCTTAATTGAAACAATTTAATCTTGAGTTATTTTTCTCATAATTCTTTAAAGATTTGGTTCATAAATATTAATATAAAGGTAACTTTAGTTCTCAATTCCTCTTTTATATTATTTTTTAATCTTAATTTTAAATAAAAATTTCAAATTCTTAAATAAATACTGAATAGACATTTAAAAACAAAATTCAATAAAAACCCGATGAAATTTTTAAAAAATAACTATTAAAATGTAGTAACACGCTTTGTTGAGCCCATGGTTCATCAACCAAACATTAAGGCCCTGTCTGGTATAATCCACCTCCCATTACTCCAATATGCAACACACCAGTCACCTCAAACCTGTATCATGGCTTGAGGAATTTCATCACCATCCTCCATCGTCTACCAAAAATCATAGGACAATGAGGTTTGTCTCCCATCCCCAACATTTATCCAAATCTGCTTAATTTGCAAAATCACTTCCAAGATTTTGCTTTCTAGTTAAGATTGAGAAGGAATTTGAGAATTATTAATCTTGTGCAGTAAAGATTTCATGGCATTTTTTTGCAATCTTGTAGTAAATTGCCCTGGTAGCCAATCAAAACTAAAGAAACTGGGTTATTAAAATGAGGCCACTGCATTGGGGAGTAATTACAAAATGAGGTTAGACATGTCTGGAGGAAGATGGAATAAGAAAGGAGATAGGTTGATAATCCTACGGAGCTCTTCTAGAAACGTTGGCCAAGTATGAACATCCTGAAAGATTCTAACACCTTTATTATTACAACAGGGAAGCTTAATTAGTATAGTAGTACTAGTACCCTTGCTTGCTTGCAGACTTCAGTCACTCATCTTTGATACCCTTTAGGAGCTTCAACACATTGAGCATGGTAGGTCTGTTAGCAGGATTATCAGACAGGCAAACAACAGCAATGCTCAGCATTTGAAGCATCATCTGCTTTGAATCTGCATTCAGGATTGTTGGATCAAGAACATCAGCAGCCCGACCCTTCTTCACATTCTGAGACACCCAACCGACCAAATTCCCTCCTTCAATCTCTTTGAAATCAGGACCAGTTGGCTCTTTCCCAGTCATCAGTTCAAGCAGAATCACGCCAAAGCTATAAACATCTCCTTTTATTGTAGACCTGCCACTTTGCCCATACTCTGGTGGAATGTAACCAAATGTTCCAGCAATATCAGTACTCACATGAGTTTCACATGCGCTGATCAATCTGGCCAATCCAAAGTCTGCAACTTTTGGTTCAAATTCTTCATTGAGCAAAATGTTGCTGGCTTTGATATCCCTATGGATGATGTGAGGGATGAAGCCATGATGAAGGAAAGCTAGTCCACGTGCTGCACCCAATGCAATTTTGAAGCGTTTGGACCAGTCAAGAACTTCAAGAGCCCCAGTTCTGTTTCTCAGCCAAAGATCCAAACTCCCGTTTATCATGTATTCATAAACAAGGAGCTTCTCCTCACCATAAGAGCAGTACCCAAGCAAAGGCACAAGATTCTGGTGCTTCACCTTACCCAAGGTTTCCATTTCAGCTACGAATTCCCGGTGACCCTGTGTTTTAGCCTGGCTCAGCTTCTTCACTGCAACAGTCTTTCCATTAGGCAAAGTGGCTTTGTAAACAGTCCCAAAGCCTCCATCTCCAATTATGTTTGTCTTGCAGAAGTTGTTTGTGGCCTCAAGAATATCAACCAAAGTCAATTTCAGGAGTGGTTGTTCAAACATAGCTATGTTGATGCTCAAAGGCTCCTTTGACCTACTGCTACTTAGGAAGTAGAGATTTTGATCTATGAAGCTGTTTAGTTTGCTTTCCTCTACCTCCTCAGGATCACCTTGCCTGCAGCCTCTTCTCACCCATCTCCGTGAAGCAAAGGCTATACTGAAAATGATAAACATGCATCCAACTACAACTCCAGCAAGACCCCTAGCATTTAACGAGGATTTGTGGCAGTCTAAACCCATAATTTTCCCACACAGATCTTTGTTACCAGAAAGTGAAGTTCTTGAAAGATTTTGACAGATCTCATTTCTCGGGACAGGGCCCTCCAACCTATTCTCAGCCAGATTCAAGTAAAACAGGTTGATCAAGGTGCACATTTTCACAGGAATCTGTCCAGATAGCCTGTTCCTTGATATATCCAAGTACTCAAGCTGCATCAAATTGCCAATATCTGCAGGAATTTCTCCAGCAAACTTATTTGCATGAAGATCCAAGAATGTCAAGTATGACAGGTTGCCCAAAGATTTAGGTAAGTTTCCATCAAAGAGGTTATTACTCAAGTTCATGGCTTCAATCTTCCAAGCCATGGAACTAGAGAAAAGATTATCCACCCCACCAGAGAGTCTGTTCTGCTGAACATAAAGTCCCACAAGATTAAGCATGTGAGACAGTGATGGCGGAAGCTCTCCATCAAGCTCATTGTGGCTTACGTCCAAGTGAGTGAGCTCTTTTAAATTCCCAAAACTAGCAGGAACTGCACCACTTAGCTTGTTACCAGTTAAATTCAGCTTCACCAAACTACCCACATGGCCTAAGCTTCCAGGGATGGTGCCTGTGAGCTGGTTATTACCCAAATACAAGCCTTGAAGCTTGAGAGAGTCACCAAATTCCACAGGAACAGAACCTGTAAGCAAGTTTCCAGACAAATCCAAGATTGTAAGATTAGGTAAGTGAGAAAGTGATCCTGGAATATTGCCAGTAAGCATATTATTGCTGAGAAGAAGATCTACCACCACTACACAGTTTCCCAATTCTTCAGGTATTGAGCCAGACAATCTGTTGTTGGACAGATCAAAGATCCCATGATGCTGAATGAAGCTGAGATCAGGCATATTAGCCTGACGAAAGTATGAGGATGGCTTCAAAGGGATCAACCCGGAGAGATTATTGTGAGAAAGAACCAGGCATTGCAATTGCTCCAGGTCAGAGAGCTCCACCGGAAACGACCCACTGAGATTGTTGTGTCCAAGATCCAATGTGGTTAGAGCAATGCAGTCTCCAAGCTCAACTGGGATATTCCCTTCTAACAGGTTCGAATTCAAGTTAAGCACGGAAAGGGCAGTGAGATTGCCAAGCTCCTTGGGAATGATGCCATTCAGCTTATTGTTACTAAGAACAAGCCTCTCCAATGAAACTGCATTACCAATCTCTGTAGGCAGAGAGCCCTGTAACTGATTGTTTGCAGCAGAAAGCTCCATCAAGTTAGCAGAACTCCATAAACTGACTGGAATGCCACTGGTGAAATTGTTCGAGTCAAGGTCAATAACCATCAATGGAAGCTCTGAAAGATATCCCGGTATCAAACCATTGATCTGATTATTAACGAGCACTAACTGGGTAAGATTTGTACACTTCACAAACACATCCTCTATCGTCCCTGTAAGGAAATTACCATCAAGGTCGACCTCCAAGAGAGACTCAGCATTGCACAATTCTCTTGGTATATGACCGGTTAACAGGTTGTTGCTCAAACTAATGTGCTTCAACATAGAACAATTTCCAATCTCAGGGGGGATTTTACCTGAAAATTTATTGCTTGAAAGCAACAGGGACTCAACCTGGTTCCATTTTCCAATCCAAGAAGACAATGGCCCGGAAAGCTGGTTCTTCTCAGCAGAAAATGTCAACATGGGCAGCTCTGCAAGTTCCTCAGGCAAGGACCCAGACAAAGAATTGAATGACAGCATCAAAGTCTTCAACTTTTTGCAATATCCAAGCTCTGGCGGTACTGAACCATTGAGCTCAGCGTAAACAAGGTTCAATATGCTCAAATTCTGCAACTTTCCTACGGACTTTGGGATCGAACACTTCAATGGGTTATAAGAAAGGTCAAGCTTGCTCAGTGATTTTAAATTGGACAGTTCTTCAGGTAAAGGCCCTGTTATTGAACAGGATGGGGAAAAGAAGTTCTCAAGGAGTGAAAGGTTGCCGATTTCCGGCGGCAACTCTCCGGAGAATTGATTAATACCAATGTAAAGATCAGTGAGGCTTTTTAAATTACCAATTTCTGGTGGGATTTTACCGGAGAAGGAATTGTTTGATATATCTAATGAGGACAAAAACAATAGGTTTTCGAACAGAGATAAAGGGAGAGAACCAGAGAGAAGGTTGTTACCCAGGTCCAAGAACTGCAGACGAGTTAAGTCGCCGAGTTGACTCGACACTGTCCCGGAAAGTGCATTGCTGGAGAGGTCTAGTGTACGGAGACTTTTGAGGTTCCAGAGCTCGGGTGGGATTTTTCCATTGAAAAAGTTGGGCCCGAGTGTCAGTGTCTCCAGCTGCGTCAACCCACCAAGTTGCCTCGGCAACGCCCCAGACAACTGATTATCGCCGAGAAAGAGCTGTTTCAAGCTCATCAGATTAGATACCTGCGGAGGGATTCCGCCATAGAAAAGGTTCGACGACAGGTCGAGGACGGTGAGTTTGGAGAGAAAGAAGAGTTCCGGCGATAGAGGCCCTTTCAAAAACCGACCCTGGAGGGAGAGCCCGGTGACTCGACCCAGTTGGCACGTGACACCTGCCCAGTCGCAGTGATGAGCTGTACTGCTCCATGACGACGAGAGTAACAGCGGATTTTGCAGCGAACCCTTGAAAGAAATCAGCATTTGCCGTTCTGGGTTTCTCTCCTCTTGCTCTTCAATGACGGAAACTGATAAAAAGAAGAAGAAATGAATAACCACAAAGAGTAAGAAAAAGAAACGGCGAAACACCATGGCCGAAACAGAGGAGAAAAGCGAAGAGCTTTGAAAATTGAAGCCAAGTAAGGGTTTTGAGTATTTATTTACAGGGGAGGATCAGAAGAGAACACCGTGGAAAAGGACAAAATGAAACAGGGAATGGAAGTACAGAGGATGAAGAAGTAGAAGAAGCGCCATTGAAGTGGGAGGGGTTTAGCTTAGAGGAAAGGAGAAAAGTGTCAGAGAAAGTGAAACGTGATGACTTGCAATGGCAATTGAATATTGGAGTATGTTTTGTTTGTTTGTTTGTTTTTATTTAACTAATCTTTGGATTTTGGATAGTTACTTTAAATTTTAATTAATTTGAAATTAAATTGAAATTAACCCATTAAAATGAAGTTTTATCTGTGTTTGTTTTTTTATTTATAATATTTAAATTTAAAATTTTATGTAAAAAAATCGATAATTTTCCACTTAAATTAACGATTCGTTCGTAAGGATCTTTCGGTTTTTATCATTCTTTTATTAATTATGATATTTTACAATTTAAAATAATATTAAATTGTTAAATATTAATTATTAAATAAATTTTTTTAATATTAAAAGGTTTTTATAATTTAATAATAAATGCTTTTAATATAAATTATATTTTTTAATTATATATATTTTTTGAGGTGAGTCCCACCCCTGAAACTAGTTTGGAAAGATTTTTATAAAAAAATAATAACTATTAAATCACAGGGTGGATTTCTTTTTGATTTTATATTTTAGTTTTATTATTATTTGAAAAAGAAATTTAAAAAAAAAGACCTAAAAAGAAAGGGCTACTACTGCAGAGAATCCGGCGCTCGTCTCTCCCATTTTCATCTTTTTAGTCTTTTTGACTTTGTGGCCATTTTTTTTTTCTTTTAATTTCATAATTTCCACTACGTTATTGGTGGTTGTTAGTGAAAGAGATTTGTAATTTTTGTAAAAAGGGGAAAAAATCTCACGGGTGTTTCTCAACCTTCTAACCATCATTTAATTAGATTCTCAACTTTTTATGTAGTTTCAACTGGGCTCTCTACTTGACTACTTTATTCCAAATTATCAAACTTCTAGTATGATTCTTGCATTATTATTTCATTTTCTGTAATGGGTGATTGGATTTGGGTTTTAGGGGAAAAGGAATGGGAATTTCTAGGTCTAAATCTAACTTCATTTCAAGTCAATACAAGTTTTGGCCAAGTTGAATATTGATTTGTGATTGTTACCTTTTAATTTTTTTTGGACTTTTTAATTTTCATTATCCCACTATATAAGATTCAATTTGTCTTTATTTTTTTAATAGTTACAAATTGAGAAAGAGACAAGATTGAATCTAAATTGTAGGGGTTGGGAAAGGTTTGCCACCAACTTTGTCAGGAGATTAGATGCACCTACCTTTATTTGATCAATTATGTAAACAAAAACTTGTCCATGTGCAGCATTAACAACATAATTCAATAATATAGAAAATAAAATCTAATTAGATATCATTGATTAATTACAAAATTCAAGAGAGAGGCTATATGATCAATTGTGATTTTCGTTATCATTTCCATTTGCTCTACTAAATAAAAAAAAAAAGTGAAATTGAATTCAATCAATAAAACTACAAAGTAGGAAATAATTACAAACTTGACTGACATGATTATAAAGGTTGAAGATTTAATTAAACTACTCTTGAAAGGTAAGGAACTTACCTGCACCATTTATCCTTTACCCAAAACACCTGTCAAATAAATAACTAATTTGCAAAATAAAAATTTTAAAGGCAGTGGTCCGCTGGTCCTTTGTAAGGGCAGTGGACCCCTACCGGGTGTCGGAGAGTCCGTCCAAGGGGCAGATTCGGTTTGAGGGGAGGGTTATAATAAATTGACAAGACTGTCCTTATAAATTGACAAGACTGTCTTTAGGTAGGGGGAGCGGGCAGTCGTTACTCCGACCAAAAATTGCTGGGCAGACAAACCTTTTTTTTTAGACATCCAGTTATAGTATTTAAAAGTAGAAATTTTTGTTTTGCGGATTGTATATGATTTCGTTTGTAAAATTATTTAAATGTATTTAAATTTATTTTTATATGATTTTTTAAAAATATTTA